CCCCAAAACCCCAAAACCCCAAAACCCCAAAACCCCAAAACCCCAAAACCCCAAAACCCCAAAACCCCTTGTCCATTCAAATTTATTGAAGTATTTATAACAGAAATTACATAAGAAGAAAATATTATAGAAGACATTGTTGTCGACAATGGTTCAGGTGTTGCCAAAGCAGGATCTGTAGGAGAGAATCAACCATGCTCAGTATTCCCATCCGTTGTTGCTAAGTCAAAGACTAAGCAAGCAATTGCTGGAGGAGGTGGAATAAAGATTAATTCGTTGGAGACGAAGGCCAACAAAAGAGAGGTGTTTGTGCTCTGTCATATCCAATAAAAGTGGAATGATTAAGGATTGGGATGGTATGCAAATGATTTGGAACTATACCTTCTCCAATAAACTAAGGATCGAGACTGGAATCATCCAGTTCTATTGACTGGGCTCCATTGAGTCCAAAGCAAAGATACCATATGCAGAATTATGTATGAAGAATAAGATTTTCCTAGAATGTATCCACATCCAGGCTGTCTTGTCATTGTACTCAGCAAGAAGAGCAACTAGTATCGTTGTTGATTCTGGAGACGATGGTAAACATTCTCTAATAATCTTTGAAGGCTATAAAATCCCACAAGCAATTGAGAAAATCCTTCTTTTTAGAAGAAACCTTACTGATTATATCTGCAGAATCCTTAAGGACGAGTACTATCTCTTCGAGACCATTGTAGAGAAGGAAACTATTAGATATCAAAAAGAAATTATTCGCAGTTGCTGATGATTATTAAGCATAACTTAAGAACGCAGGAGAAGGAGGTGAGCTAGAAGAGTCATACGCATTGCCAGATGAACGACCACTCAAGATCTCCACTCAAAGATTGCAATGCCCAGAGTTCTTGTTCCAGCCAGACTTGGGAGGCAGAGAATGCAAGAGCGTCCACCAATTGACCTACGACTCCATCATGACTTGTGATTTGGATGTCAGGAAGGACTTATACGCTAACATCATTCTCTCCTAAGGAACCACCATGTTCTCAGAACTCGGAGAGAGGCTCTACAAGGAAATGAAAGAATTGGCTCCACAGACAATGAAGGCCAAGGCCATTGAGTCCCCAAACAGGAAATACGAAGTATGGAGAGGAGGATCAACTCTCGCGAAGCTATCCTCATTAACTGGTATGTGGATAACTATTAATTCTAAGCTGAGTTCCTAAAAAATATGCATCGCTAGACCTTGCCCCAATTTCTTAATAATAATATTTAATTTGCCTTCCTCAATTTATCAGAAAATAAAGGGGTTTTGGGGTTTTGGGGTTTTGGGGTTTTGGGGTTTTGGGG